CTTATAAGGCCAAGTCCACTACCTCCTATAGATGAGTAACGTGCTACATGTTTGTACATTCCACTTTTTTTTTTTGTCTTTATTTTTGCAGCCAGGCTGCAGGCATGTGACCTAACTTCTGCCAGTCAAACATGTCCCTTGTATACTTTGCAATAGAAGCTAGTAACACGCAGTTTTCAGCATGTTTGCTGCTATTGCTGGTGTTGGGCTTGGAAGCTACAGACTTTTCCTCAGTAACAGCAGTGCTGTCTTTACCAGACTAGTGTTGCTATGTGATTTTGGATGATGTTGCTCGATATATAGACCTGATTTTTCTAGACCCTCATTGAAACTGGTGTTCTTTTCAATATCCTTCTGTGAATTTCAAGAGTGAGTACATTTACTTGCAACCAAGAATCCTGCTTGGTACATCCCAAATGTTGTTTCTAAAAGCTGTGTCTCTCCAAGAATTGTTTGGAAGCATCATGTCTCAGAATCTTTGTATGGCCCAAGAATCTGCATTTTAAGCAAGTCTCAGATGTCTATGATTTTTTTTTTTCTATACAGTAAACTTTAAGAACCATTTTTTTTTTTTTTTTTTTTTACATTCTCAGCTTTTGAAGTTATTTGCTATTTGTATAGGGATTTGAGTAACCACTAAAAGAAATGATTCTAGTTTTTTTCAAGACCTTAATAAATGACTCTCTCTCCACAGGAAAAAGATGAAGCTGTCTGCTCCTGTAAAAATTTACAGTCTTAGAACCAGCTGGAGCAGTTCTACTGTGTCTTACTGCGTCTCTCTGAATCAGAATCACAAGGGCAGTGGTTTAATAAATGACTATCTCATATTTCCTTGTTTCCCGGCTCCTCCTTCATTCTTGCCATAAAACTTTGTTCTGTTTCATCAACTCTTTTAAAGCCTTTTTTTTGCGGGGGCATGTTTATGTCTTTTCACTGAAATATTGTAATTCATTGAAGGGATTGCTTCCATGCAGTGGTATCAGAACTGTTACTGGGTTTAAGCTACACTGTATTGGAAGCTTTCTTGAGGTTTTTACTTTCTAGAGATTTCTGGGATCACAGTTCCAGTCCAGGAACTGGAACACCCTGGGTGCCTTGCCTTGAAGAGTTTCCCAGCCAAGATTCAGGCCAGAAAATGGCAAGGAAGGGTGGACTTGATTTGTGTACGTTCATGGCTGTGTGTCTGCATTGCACATACAGGCAGGCTGTGTCTTAAACGTCCAGGCAACCGTTACACAGCTAGGAGTGAGACACAGACACCCATTGGCTAAGACTTTCAGTGAGTGCTACGTTCCTCTGTGACCTAGTCGGCCACTTGAGACATTTACACAGTATTGTCAAAATGAAAATCATTCTTATTACTTACAGAAAGCAAACACTAAACTATAACAACACATTCCCAAAGGGGAGACACTTACTCTTCCCCACATTACCATTCTTATATGACTGCGCAGGTGCACTGTGGCTCAGTGTTCCATCACTGCTATCTCTGGTTACCACCACACTGCTGGTGGGTGGGTGGGTAAGTGACCTGCATGGCTCTGGAGGCTTCTGCTCTGCAGCTAGGACTCAGCTGGCTGGAAGACCCTTGCCCAGGATCTCTTGAGTCCCTACTGATGAGTCCAGCTAATAATTCTCTGCTGTCAGCTACCTGGGCCTGCAGGGTTCTCTTGTCGCCATGCTACCCTAGCTCCTGATGGCCAGGGGGAGGGGTACAACCCTTGCACAGGGCACACTCATGCCTCTCTTACTCCACACAATCAAGTGTCCCTACTCTTTTATTTTCCCTGGCAAGCTTCCTGCCCGGAGGTGTCTAGCTCCACCCTGCAGTAGGAAGCTCCCTGCACAGGATCCTCCAAGGCAAACCCCGCATGGTGGATATTCAAGGGCTTTGCTCTGCGGAAGCATCTGTTATAAGCCCTTTTAGCTCTGCCAGCAAGCCTTCTACTTGAAGCACTTGAAAGCACTCAGCACTGGCCCCATGGGCCGGGCAGATCATTGTTGTTGTGTTTTCATGTCTTCAGCGGTCACTCTTTTGGAACTAGTAGGTTCTCATCACAAAGCTCCCAGGCCCTTGGTCCAAAGGGTTCACTCCACTCAAGTCTTACTCGTGATGTTAGAGAAATACCCCCAATTTAACTTTAAGCCTAGTTGTTGTGGTTAAGTATCATTGAGTCAGTTCTGACTCATAGTGACCCTGTATAGGGTTTCCAAGGAGCAGCTGGTGAGTTTGAACCACTAACTTTATAGTTAGCAGTCCAGTTCTGGTCCTACAACACCATGCCAGGACTCTGTTTTAAACCTAGGGGGATGGCAAAACTGGCCAATCACCTTAGTAGACCATAGGCACATTATTTGCATAGTCACTGCCTTATTCCTGCAATAATTTTTACACACTTTATCTGTATGATGTTGTTAGGTCTTATCATGGCGACCATATGTACAACAGAACAAAACATTGTCCGGTTCTGCACCAACCTCACAGTCTTTACTATGTTTGAGCCCATTGTGGTCACGGTGTTAACCCACGTCATAAAGGGTCTTCCTCTTTTTCACTGACCCTGTGCTTTACCAAACCCAATGTCCTTTTCCGGGAACTGACCAAAGTACATGAAATGAAGTCTTATCATCCTCCCTTCTAAGAAGCATTCCTACCAGACTTTTTCTGATACAGATTTATTCATTCTTTTAGTAATCTATGGTATATTTAATATTCTTTGTCAATGTCATAATTCAAAGGCATCAAATCTTCTTTGGTTATCCATCATCAGTGCCCAGTTTCCACATACATATGAGGTGATTGGAAATACCGTGGTTTGGGTCAGGTGCACCTCTGCCCTCAAAGTGACATCTTTGATTTCTGGGGGGCTTTTTTTATTTTGGTGTGTTTTTTTTTTTTAACTGCCATTCCTGGGGAATTTGATTATGAGTCTAAGTAAAATGAAATCCCTGATGTCATCAGTATTTTCTCTGTTTATCGTGATATTGTGAGGTTTTTTTTTTTTTTTTAATGTTGAGATATAATCCATACTGAAGTCTTGGATTATTTGCATAGTCCCAGCCAATCATTTTGGGGGTGGGGTTACAAGACCATGTCTATTAGAACAATTCTTATAACACCAAAATTTACTTCTGAGATTTCTAAAATTACAGAAGGTCTGGAATGAATGTCACTTAGCCCCCTCCTTTCTCAAATAAAGAGCAGAGAGAAGATACATATCCACAGCACATAACTAATGAGTGTGGTAACAGACCAAAATCAATCTGGAAACGAGGAGTGGTGATACAGAGTGTGGCCCACCCTAGCACAAAAAGGAAGGAGACCAGCTTTTATTGAGTGACTGACTTTGAGCACATTGACGTAACTTCTTTGAACCTTAGTTTCCTCAGTTGCAGAATAAGCATTCTAATGTCATTGGTGTTGTTAAGTGCCATCAAGTCGGTTCTGACTCATAGTGACCTTGTATAGGGTTTCCAAGGAGCAGCTGGTGGATTTGAGCTGCTGACCTTGTGGTTTGCAGTCCAGTGCTGATCCTACAGTGCCACACCAGGAATCTACCAACATTCTAATAATGATTAATATTGACATAACCTTGAAGGTTCCAAAATGGCAAAAAGGGTTTGTGCTTAGCTATCAAATGAAAAGTTGGCAGTACAAATCCACTCACAGGTGCTACAATAACACCTGGTGATCTGCTTCTATAATATTGCAGCCATTGAAAGCCTTATAGAAAACAGGGCTCACCATAAGTCACAATAGAGGTCAAGGTCAATGAGCATATAACATTGGCTATGTACTATCTATCTATCTATCTATCT